TAAAATTAGAGAGAAAAACAAACAAACGCCAGTGCTCCAAAAACTCAACAGCAAAATTGAACTAATTTGTTGTTTAAATAAAAAGATGAGTATTTTATACTGACTGGAAGCAAGTTTTTTTAACATTCTAAAATTTAAAACTAGTCAGTAGTTATACCAAAATTTTATCATTGCAAAAGATAAATATATAAAATAATACGTGTTTAAATTTGAAAGCCCCAACCCCAATATATATTAATAACCTATGCTAGTGAAAGTGATACTTAGAATATAATAATTGATCTCTTAATTCATAAATAATGAGCAAAACAAACATTTCTTCTCCCCTAATGGGACAGCAGTAACTCTTCGGATTTACAACGCTAAAATCAGGGCTCGATTCCCCTCGGTTGACATGTCAGATAGCCCGATGTGCCTTTGCTATAAGAAAACACACACAAATATATAGTTAAAACTCCATAGGCGACAAAGATATCGAAATAAAATAAGTTTTTGTTTTATTTTTATTTAAAGAAGGATGACGTTTTGAGCGAAAGCTCTTTGTCAGATCGTACAGCTTACAACAACAGCGTATGCGCAGAATTTAAAGAAATTGGGTGCGTAAGTATTTCGAGTGTTGAGCATGAAATTTCTGTGCAGAATTACATCTTTTACATAAATATTACAAATCATGAAATGATAATACATATAGCAATTAAAATTTAAATAAAAAAGGGGAAAAATGAAAATCTCTTGGAAAGAAAAGCTTTAAATAAAAATATATCAAAAATTTGGCGATTGTTCAACCTATTATTTTATTTAAACAGTTCTAAATCCCAACTTCGTAGTGACCTGATTACTAAGGAGTTTCAATTATTTCATTATTTCTTTAGATAGTTTTAAAAGCATATACTGTGGAAATAGCACAAAATAATAATAATTTTTAATTACTGACAATACACCTTTTAGTTGAGTGAGACTATCATATATACCAAAGGACAATGGAGTGCATAGCGCCATCTGTTGAGTATTCTTGCAGTACTATGTGTTCGTTTTTTTTTTTCATCGGCAGAAAAATGAAAGCATGGTAATCCTCAAAACAAACCAACATGTCGCTTCCTGAGATTTTCTGATTAAATCATGAAACATATTTTATATTTATAATAAAACTGTTATTCTCAACACAACTTCCCCAAATCCGCTACCTTAACACGTGTATCTTTTGATTTTCTATGTATACAACAGCTGAAATGAACAATAATCACATAACAGTAAGCTTAATCAGTAAGTTTTTGATCTGTAATGATATTTTTATCTACATCTGTACATAGAGCAGCTACCACAAAACAAGACTAAAAAACCTAATAAATTTGCAAAATTATTACACACGTTATCAGGAATTTTTTTCAAAAAAAAGGTCAATTTAGAGTATACTATCTTTCGATGTATTCCTGCGCAATTGGATCAGATCATAATTATGAAAGATTAACTGTGGCTGAAGTGAGAAAAACGTGTATTTAAATAACTTCCTTATGCATCAGATTGCCATTTTGAGTAATCCTCAAAATTTTTAACAGTTTTTGTCACTATTTAATATTTTCAAATACATTTGGCGGCTTTCAAGCATAGATAAAATTAGATTCGTATTAACTAGCACAGAGATGTAATATTATATAACCAGTTCAAAAATTCGAGACTGATATTGTATAAGAAAGCGAAAATATGAAAGAATTCTCTGAACATGTATGACAAGAGTAGCCTTTAATGTTGAACTAACGGATAAACTCTTGCTTTGCGTACTATGTAAGTACTGAGGTTATTTGAATACAAAAACATTGTTTAGTAATATAAAACACTGATACAGACCGGATTGAATCCTCGATCACCCGCATGCGAAGCATATACTGTACCATATGAACCAAACCCCAAAGAATTTGGCCTGGCGTGGCCGGGTGTTTAGGGCGCTCGACTCGCAATCTGCTGGTCGCGGGTTCGAATCTCCGACCACCCAAACATACTCGCCCTTTCAGCCATGGGGGCGTTATAATATGACGTTCAATCCAACTATTCGCTGGTAAAAGAGTTGGGGATGGGTGGTGATGACTAGCTGCCTTCCCCCTAGTCTTTTATTACTAAAGTAAGGACGGCTAGCGCAGATAACTCTCGTGTAGCTTTGCGGAAAATTCAAAACAAACAAACCCAAGAATTTGTTCACACTTGCAGCATTATTAGACGGAATACTATATATATATATATATATGAGAAAGGTATATGTTTTAAATAGATAAATCCTTTAAATAATGCTGTTGTTGTATTATGTAGTTGGACATGAATGAAACAAAACCTACTGAGCAGAATATAGAGTTGTTGTATTTAGATTTAAAGTAAATAACTGTAAAACGTAGAATGACCATAAACGAAATGTATCTCTATACTCAACATTGTCTTTGTGGAGTTTATCGTGATTGAACTCCTGATAAAGCGACGTTATAAAATAGTGATTTTTTAAGATTATGGTATCAAGAAGGGTAAAAATCAACTGTTTTAATTTGTCGCTATTTCACTTTTTTTTTCTTACATAATGGTTCCAACTGTTTTTTACTCTCCTGTAAAGTATTAACAAAGCGTCAGGGTCATCACCACCAATAACGGAAATGGTGTAATATTCTATTCCCCTAGCGGATAAACTCGTTCTTCGCTAACGAAGCGTTTCTGAGTCGGTAGACTATGTATGTAGGGATGGCCAAGGTTCTCAGTAGTTATGTTACAAATATGTTCGCTAAAAAATCAACAGTGATAGAGGATTTTACTTTAAAAGATGATTGTCACTCACTTTCATTTGTTTTTCTACCCAACAAGTCCAAAACCAAGGCAAAAAACCGGCTAAGATTCTAAACCAGAAAGTGACCAACCCACCAAATTATTCATCTTTCTTCTTGTTGTTTCAATAGAGATAACTCTACAACTACTTTATCACTAACGTCAGTTTAAGTCCACTCTATGTCTTCCTGGGCAATGCACGATGTCATCGCTTAATCGTAATAACTAGTAGCAATTTTAAAAAATCATAATTATAGTGTAAACAATGTTATCATTACTCCACGGAGTTAGTTTTTTTACAGAAATCTGGTGTTTCTTTAAAAAGCTTAAGTACAGGGTGAAACAAGAATTATGTAGGGATGGCAGTGCCAAAAAGAATGCAAACAAGAACACAGGGGTGACACAGCTATACATAGATCATCCTTACGTGACTTCCAACATGATTTAATGTTACACTGTAACACTGTAAAAAATGTATACTTGACTTTAATATTAATGCAGTTGTAAATTATATATTCCTGACTGTTATTATGCAGTTTGTTTACCATAATATCATGGTCATGTCAGGGTAGGCACCAATGTAAGAAGCTGGGAATTGCATAGAAGGAAAACCAAGTTCAGTCAAAACATGTCTTTATTATTACAAATTCTCGCTGCGATGTCGGTCGAATTGACCGACTTCGTAACCATTTTATATTCGTGCATTTTACAGTGTAACATTAAATTTTAATACTGAAAGTCATGTAGGGATGATCTATGTATAGCTGTATTATCCCTATATTCTTGTTTGTATTCTTTTTGGCAATGTCATCCCTACATCGCCGTCCATTTACAATATGTTTTTATTACTTGTATAAATTGTTGATTTTTAAGCAACAGTATTGAGATAGATTGAAACGTATACTAATTTTACAGTAGTGAATTTTTAAAGTTATTATATCAAGAAGTTTAAAAATAAGCTATCGTCATATGTTTTTTGCAAACTTCTTGTGTATATATGTGTGTGTCGAAATCGCGTTTGTATATCATCTGAAACCTGTAGTTATTTTCTTTCGTGCAATGTGTTAACTGTAGAGCATTGAAAATGAATGAAATTGTAGGAGTTACTATTAAGGGCAATTGCCATAGATTATATAGCGGGTAAACGCGTGCTTCGCGTATGAAGTGTATTTAAATTTTAGGTTTATTTATCGATTTTTAAGCACCTGTTGAAATATTTATTGAGTTGTAATGGTATTGCATTATTTATAAGTCATAGAAAGTTAAAGAATTAACTTAGTTTGTTTCTGTGCGTGTTTGTTTATGTTACTGAAGTAATTTTCTTTAAAATTTATGTTATAAACGTCATAGTTTTGCAGTCGTACAGAACAATGCACCTTAAACGTCATTCACTTTTGCACTCGTATAAGCACCACTGTACAATTAACCAATAGATATATCTGATTCCATGTGAGCTATCACGCATACACGCACGAACTGATTAGCAAACATTTGTCTGTTAATATATATGCGTGGCAGTTAGTTGTACGTGTTGAAGAACAATAATTGTTGTAACACACTAGTAATGAGCTCGAGCATTCATATGCGTTAATTACATATAGAACCAATGAGAAAAAAGTGCGTGTCATAATAACGTTCTACAAGCACGGAAAGAATTTAATTTCAAATTACAATTATATTTAGAAAGAAGCTTATAGACTGAAGCATCACATTAAAATATAAGGTTTTATTAGCCCACAAAATTTCATCGTTTCAAAGAACTCTTCGCCTGGTAGACATTAAAACAATGTTTACGTGTATGTTTGCGCTTCTTAAGTGGCGTCAAATCCAATGAAGAATATAACTGCTTGTTAAGTATGCTTGATCTACCTGACAAAAAAAGATTGAAGTGCTTTTTACCCTCAGGCTTTGACATATTTCCTTGTAAGAGATCCTAAAACAGTGTATAAATTACTGAATAAACAACTTCAGTTCAACTTTTTCAGGTGAGGATCAATTTATATAGCAATTTAAGAAAAATGTTAGGTTTTAAGCTTCTGTATGAAGTGTACTTGGTGCGATTTAAAGTTCATTTTAAATTCGGATTACTAATATTTTTAGATCGAGTCGCTATCTGTATGATATATAACTAATATGCTTTGTTAATGTTAATAATATGTGACATAGAAAGAAACTTAATGTATGTTTTGTTTTCTGTCTAGAATGGAAAAGAACCGCCAAGAACGTTCACAATAAAGCCCATTCCTTCAGCTGCATCTAAACCGTTAATTGTGTTTATAAACCCTAAAAGCGGAGGAAAACAAGGGATCAAATTAATTCGAAAATTTCAGTGGTTGCTCAACCCTCGACAAGTATTTGATTTATCTCGGGGAGATCCAAGTGCTGGGTGAGTGGGGGTACTGCTTTCGCCCACCAAACCCTTTACATTCTATTAAAGTAAATTTAGATATGTAAATTCTTTATTTAACCAATTCTTCCAACTTAAGAGTTGTGGTTTGTTAGTGTTGTTCTGCAGTATATAAACTAGAAATTGTGTGTATTTTATAATATATACTTTTATATATTTAGTTCCCCCAACGGTGAGTGAAGACAATACAAAGCCATACATGCTGTTAAAAAATGTCGTTTTATATTAACCCTTTATTGCACACTGTAACGTTGTAACAAATATTTGTTGCTAAATGCATATACAAATGCTTCAGTTCTGTAGTTGAATATTTATACTTTCAGATAACTGTATAAATTAACCCTGTAATCATTTTTGTTGTTTTGTCAATTCAACAGTGTTATTTCCAGGTAATGTATCCATTTATACCTCATAAAAGCAATTTGTATGCAATATAGACCTATTTAAGTAAGTAATTCAATGAAAATATATTTTTGCACTGTATTTTCATAATGCATGCAAAAGAGGGTTAATTTCTATTTCGTCATTCACGTGTCGTAATTTGGTTTGTTGCTGAAAAGCCCTATAATCTTTTTCCTTCTGCATAAACTGATTAAGAGAAAATCGTGAAAGACAACAGTCAGAGAGGTTAGTTAAGTATTTTGAGATATGCAGTAAATGTATTCTGAAGTTGTCATGGTTTTATATATGAATAGGGCTGGGATTCTTCTACAGTAGATGTCTGTGACTTGTTGGCGATAAATGTCAACAATAAACGGACAGCACACAATCCACTTGTTTTAAAATAATATATATATATATTTAAAACAAGTCAAACGTATGTACAAATATTCTTTACACTATAGGATATCACAGTTTTGTTTAAAACTTTAAATAATTCTATTTTATTATCAAAAAGTCCACACAGGCGGATTCAATTACTTTGACAAGACAAATTATTCTCCCTATCTATAAATTTGTGAAAGTCACTTTAAAATATCGCCCGTTACGGCTAATCATTCACACGTCGGCTAACTTCACGTTTTTTAACTTTTTTCTGACTAAACTTAACTTCTTTTCACTTCACTTTACTCTGCTTCTTAATATGCGCTCGCGATCCACTTGTTCACTGAGGCCTCGAATTTTCGACAAACTATTGCGAGTGGCGCTATAATGTAACAATACTCAGTTAAGGTAACGAGAAAAATACCGAAGATTCGAGTAACGTGACGTCAACAATATTAGTAAAGTCTAGACAACAGTTTAATTACAAACACATCGTACGATTTGTACAGAGTTACCTAACGAATCTTGTCACAACTAACACTTTTAAAACAATCCATCTTCAACACTCCTGTCTTTAAAACTAAACAATCATTAAATATTAAGTCATAAAATAAACTAAATAATAACACTTACACTAAACAGTCTTGTATATCAAACAGAAGTTATTCATTATCCATCATATGTCTGGAAATTCTCTACTTTCCTTATTTGTAGAAGTAGAACATGTTATTTGTTAAAAGCATTGAAGAATAACAAACCCTGTATCACTGTTTCAAGTTTGGTGCTGATTGATTAAAAAATGTGGAAACGTATAAGGAACAGATACACACAGATTTGACGTTTATTTCTGTAGATGTAATCAGTTTATCTTTAATTTTCCGTGGGTTTTATGAAACAGTGACCAAATAATTAAGTGATATTTATTTAAATTATAATTGAAATGTCTCACAGCTTTCGATCTTTACACTTGATGAAGGAAACTTCATTTCCTTTTACATTTTAAAATTCAATACTTTCCCATGAAATAAGTTGCAATAATTATTTTCTGACGTTAATTGGAAGTGTATTCAGTGTTATTACATTTCTAATTATCATAGTGAACGATGAATTGTCTCTTCTTAGGCCTTTCTACCATTTCACTAGTTGTATGTTCATGTTCCTTTATGCCCAGCATGGCCAGGTGGTTAGGGAGCTTGATTCGCAATCTGAGGGTCGCGGGTTCGAATCCCTGTCACATCAAACATGCTCGCCCTTTCAGCCATGGGAGCGTTATAATGTGATGGTCAATCCTACTATTCGTTGGTAAAAAAGTATCCGAAGAGTTGGCGGTGGGTGGGGATGACTAGCTGCCTTCCCACTGCTAAATTAGGGACGGTTGCGCGAAATTCAAAACAAACTAAACCATGTTACTTTATGATAATGATTGCCAGTAACTTCTGATCATAACTAAATTAGCATTGTAAAATATTTTAAAACAAAATATTCGTTAATTAAGACAGTTTGTTTGTATAATCTTACTATAATGACAATCCATTATGTGTGTGTGTGTTAGCATCCATCACCCAGACTTGGCTGACTAGATCACCGTAATTTTCTCTACGGTAACCTGAAACTGTCCGATGGTGTACATAGGCTATTTTTGTTTTAGGATGTTTGTTCGAGAAGGAGAATAAAAAAAGCCCTTAAACAGGGCATACTCCCACTATTTTTTAAAATATTTTTGGCTTTGAATTTAAGACACGAATACTTAAACAATGAAATGAGTAAATTACCTTCTACAAAGCAGGGTATGAAATCAGCATCTAATGAAGTCATAGGAATTTAATAACAAAGAGAAAAAAATAATGCGACATTATCTAACATGCACACAAATCTTTATCGATTGTACATAGTAAACTTTTGTTTATTTTGTTAACAAACGGAAACAATTTATGTTAGCCTCAGTTCTTGTATCTCACCTTAAGACGCCAGATAAACCTGGTGAAACGTTTTGAATAAAACAAACAAATAATTGTAATTTATACAATTTTATAATAATTTGAGTGGTACAAACCTTATTTTTAACGTTTTAATCAATATGATTTGCCTAATCAACTCTGATAAGAAGCTACAATTTATTTTTAGAAATACTATAAATATACCAATTGTCCATTGCTTAAAAAACAAATGCAGTGATACACGAAACATGATATCTTTTAGCGTATTTGAAATTATAATCTGCACATCCAACAAATTAAAGTAGTGATTCTCAAGTAACTTGAATAAAACACAGCAACAAAAGGGCACTGGCCGCTTAGCTGGCTAAGTATGCGGCTGTCATGGTATTAAATTAGTTAAATGTGATACCACTTAATCTTCATGTAATCCTCTCGAACAGCTGCAAGTGACCTGTCAAATCTACTGCACTACCACTGACTGTGTAAGCCCACTTAGCTAGGCAACAGAGATTAATGGCTCCCGCAACCTATTTCTGTTTAGGCCCAAAACTGACGTGATAAAGCAAAAAAAAAAAGAGTGAAAATTTTGAAAATTTATCTATTTATATTTGAAAGTAGTTGAGCCAATAAGTTATAAAGTATTTAGATGACAAAAAATGTTAAACTTAACACTTTTGATTAATATAAGTTAACTAATGTTATCGTGAGAAGTTATAAACTTGCCATTGCATATGTAAATAAGTTATAAAAACCTTAGCCACGCCTTCCGTTCATATGTACTTGTTGTGACCTAGCATGGCCAAAGTGGTTAGGGCGCTCGACTCGCAATCTGCGGTCGCTGGTTCGAATCCTCATCCCACTAAACATGCTGGTCAATTTACTATTGTATTACAATAACCCGATTTCATATGATTTATACTATACCTGAATCCTTTTATCTGGTAATCTAGTTTATATCACCTTGTTTAATAGCACATAATTAATTTATCGTTAATAACATATTCTCACTTTCAAAAGGCCCGGCATGGCCAGGTAGTTAGGGCGCTTGACTCGCAATCTCAGGGTTCCGGGTTCGAATCCCCGTCCCACCAAACATGCTCGCCCTTTCAGCTGTGAGGACGTTATAATGTGACCGTCAATCCCACTGTTCGTTGGTAAACGAATTGCCCAAGAGTTGGTGGTGGGTGGTGATGATCAACTGCCTTCCCTCTAGTCTTTCACTGCTAAATTAGGGACGGCTAGCGCAGATAGCCCTCGTGTAGCTTTGCGCGAAATTCAAAACAAATAAACAAACATATATACTTGTTAAAAAGTGGACAGCTGGAAGTAAGAATTCAACCCTTAAGTTATTCAGAAAGTTATATTCATTCTTGCATTAACAATATATTAATAACTTATAAAATATCAAAGGCCACAGCAAAAGATAATTATAAACAGTATTGAATTACAGTGGACTGATTGAGCTTAACTGATATCTTAACGATGTTCTGTTAATGGGATTATATATAACTTAATAGTGTGAAGTAAAACAGTCGACAATCTGTCAGTTTCAAATAGTTATTGATTTACTCTTAAATCGAAGAAGTCAAGATGCAGTCAAGGTATGATTCAGAATCTGCGCCTTGAATTTGCAAATTTCGTTACATCGTCCTAGGTTACTTTGTTTCTTACTGTACCATCAAAGTATGCATCCCTGAAATACATGTTCTATTTCAATGCTGTTGGAGAAAAATAAACATAATTAAATGTGTGTGTGTGTGTGTGTGTGTAATTATTATTCTTATTTTAAAGGGTAGGAATACAAAACGGCATAACTTTGCTTCTATATACTAAGGTTTTCATAATTAAGTTTCTAATAAACAGAACCTTACTAATAAAGCCAACTAATCTGTGATGGATTCTATGAAATATCTACGATTGTTTGAAAGTCTTATTCAATATAAAATAGAAGAACAATAAGAACAAAGATGTTGGTATCTCCGCCACCGAAGATGAACGGGGGTTACGTTTTCACCCCTGTGTGTGTGTGTGTGTGTGTGTGTGTTTGTCAGCAAGGTTTCTCGAAAACGGCTGAATGGATCTGGACGAAAGTTGGTATACATTTGGACTGTGACCCAATTTAGAAGTGATTAGTTTTTGGAGGGTCAAGCTCATAGCAAGAAAACCCAAAAAATCCCTATTTGTTAACATGGGGACCGATTTTTCACACTATTTTTGCTCCAAATGATCGACTTTAATAAAATTTGGTGGACTTATGTAGAATATTATTCCTCATTGTCCTGCCAAAAAATGTTCGGTGTCCCTTGATAACGACGGATATACGGAGGACACATTTTCGTATTTTTTTCGGGAGCCTAATATGATCAACGCTACGTGGCGGAGGTATGCGCTGTACTGAGTGCCCTCTAGTTTCTTTCTGATTTTGTCGTGTTTACAGTTCTTATTTTCTGGTTCATTAAGACATCGTCGTTAATGTATCTTGATAACTGTTATTAATCCATCTTTTAAGAAAATGTGGTGGAACTTTGTTTTCTTTGAATTTTTTACTTAAATGGATCTATAGTACACATAAAAATGTTTTCGTGGACAATTTTGGTAAGTTATAAATGGGTACGTTGCCTTAGAAGTAATATTGTTCAATTGAAGTATTGTTATGTGTATTAAGCAACAGATTGATTACCTGTACATTACAATGTGCAATAGAGGGGTAATATTGATTTCAAGATTTAAACAGACAAAAAAAAATGTTGTTGTAAATAAAGAAATCAATTTTCTCTCTGTTTTTGTAAATATATATATATTAAGTGTGTTTTAAAATGGCTATTATGATTTATCCAAAGGACTATAGCCTGTAACAGTTAATTTGCAATGATGTGCGATTATTTTTTGATACTTGCTGGAGAACAAGATAGTATTTTTTTTCTTAAGATATAAGCTGTGATGCAAATTGATAACATTAAACATGAGGTTAAAACTCAAGTGACAGCAGTTTTTCGTTATTTTGTATTGTACTAAATGACAGATATATTTGAGTTGTGTGTAATAAATCAGATCTTTTAAGGTTATATTTGCCTTCTCTTTACCAACACTAAAATAATAGATAAACAGATTAAGTAAATGCCTAGGTGTGACTTAACGATGATAATTTATCTAATTTACAATTATTTATCTCTTACTTGATACTTGTTTACCGTTTCATAGTTGTCTAACAATCGTGCTTCTGTAAATAAGATGGTCTTCAACGGTTATTGACATTTTTATTTTATTTTGATATAAGAAGAAACTAATCAAATTTTGAGTTTGTCGTAGAATTTGATAAAATTGAAATACGACTCGATCTTGTTCCTGGAGAATAAAATTGTGTTTTTGGTTCTGTACGTAAAATTAGAAATATTGAACAAAGTCCAGCGTCTCTTGTTAGCTGTGTACACTGGATGCTGTTAAAATGTGTATATTACGCAATGACAAATTTCTAAGTTCGAAATTAAAAATGTATGTTTTGTTTTAAAAAAATTCATTTGAAAACTTTATTAATCTAAGTAGCGCTCATTGTCTTTAGTGTTCTGGTAGATAAACAAGTTTGCCAATGCATGCAATTTGCATAATTAAACAAAGAAATTTTACTAATATATCTGTAGAAGCTTGGCTATATCCAAAGATTTGTAATGATCCTTTCTACTAAGTTTAAATCACTAACTTGTGGGCTGAGTTGCCACGTGTAGGTAAGTATTCATTAAATTTAGCGTTCAATGGCAATTCTCGGTATTGATGTTGAAGTAAAAACATGGAGAAAACATTATGAGGGCACTTAACCTACTAGTGTTGTTCTGACAGTATAAACTGCTGGAAATAGTGTAATCTTGCGGGTAATACTAGCGTGACTGAGGTTAAATTTTGTTTCTATTACAAAAGAGACTCTGAACATTCTTGTCGATCATGTTTGCAGTAAAAATTATACATTTCCTTCCTGATGCATAAGCGCTCTTCGAATGTAAAAGTGCAAATAATCTATATCTCTTGTGTTTAGTGAATGTGCAAATAACAAGGGCCTGCGATAGTTTTATTTTCTTGAAATTGTTACATATTTTACAGTAATTCTTGTACGCTGAATCCGAAAATGAAATCCATTTTACACCATCTCGTACAGATTTTTCATAAAACGCAATACATAAAAGAAAGATCACAACACGTAGTTTGAGACTAAAAGACGTAGATTTCACAAAAAATCAAGATGAATGAGGATGCATATTCGTTTGACATCAATGTTCTTCCCTTTACTTCAGTTTGTTTGTATTTTTAACAAGAATAATAATGAAAAATGTTCATTGTTGTAAACGAAATAATAATTTGATCTAAGTAGGAGTTTTTTTTCTTCTCGATTTGTAAAAACTCCTTACGTGATAGAAAAAAAATTAATATTATTTTCGAAATCTGCGTAACTGAATTATGGAAAATCCGTTATTAAAACCAAAACAATTTTTATGAAGTTTAAATTTGCAGAATTATGGAAAATCCGTTATTAAAACCAAAACAATTTTTATGAAGTTTAAATTTGCAGGCCTGTGTAAATCTACCTATTTTGTGTTTGTCCAAAAGTGGTTTAAAAAGTATGACATTGATTTCAATGATCTTCCTCAGCCAATGGATCTCAGCCTGATAAAGAAAGTAGTGATCTAAATATTAATAAGTTTTTCTATTAAGATAAAGAAAATAGTGATCTAAATATTAATAAGTTTTTCTATTAAGATAAAGAAAATAGTGATCTAAATATTAATAAGTTTTTCTATTAAGATAAAGAAAGTAGTGATCTGTATCCACAGAATGTATCTGTAATAGCTACTAATATAACGAAAAGTAGTGATCTGTATCCCTAGAATGTAACTGTAATAGCTACTAAGATAACGAAAGTAGTGATCTGTATCCCCAGATTGTATCTGTATTAGCTATTAAGATAAAGAAAGTAGTGATCTGTATCCCCACAATGTATCTGTATTAGCTATTAAGCTAAAAAAAGTAGTGATCTGTATCCCCAGTATGTATCTGTATAAGCTCAATATTTCGCTAAAAAGCTCTTGACGAAACTTAAATATCGAAATATTGTGCTAATAAAGATACATTCTGGAAATATAGGTCGTTATTTTATTTATCTTAATAGGAATGTCTCCTAACAAACTCCAGTTTGCGTTAAACAAAGTTAAGAATAACAGTTAATGCGCCTTTTCAATTTATAATTGTTTTTTACTGAGCAAATACTAAATTTGTCAAGCAATTTTTCATATTTTGAGATATATTGATAACATAAATGTACATATTTTCTTAAATTTACTTTACTATCTGTAATTTGTTTAACCTTACAAACTTCTTTCAAGTTTAAAGTTATAAATCTGAATTAAATAAAATGCCACACTTGTTTTTTAAATTGAAAAGTTTCGATGTTGCCGAAATAATCGATATATCTTCTATCGTGCTCTTAATACTTCTCTTTGATCGTAATTTTTTGCCTGTAATATTACAGACTAGAATTATATAAGAAGGTTCCAAATCTACGGATATTGGCTTGCGGGGGGGACGGAACTGCAGGCTGGGTGCTGTCACTTCTCGATAACGTAGGCATAAATCCTTCTCCTGTTGTTGCAGTATTACCCCTAGGAACAGGAAACGACCTAGCTCGAATTCTTGGCTGGGGTGGGGTGAGTGAGCTTTTGTGTAATTAATTCAAAAGTATCTTAAATACTGCAAATTTGTAAGCCTTATTTTAAGCACATTTATGAAGTAATATCTAACTTTATGTAGGAAAAAATATGCTTTATATAATTTAAGAAATGAAGCAATTTTACTGATTTAATTGTGAAACGGTTTTGCTATAGAATCAGTAAAAAATAACAACAGAGTAATGCTATTCTTTCCTGATGAGTAAAATGAAATGGACGGCAACTGCCTGTTGTAAAAACACATGTGTAGAGGACGACGTTTCCAGACTCTTTTGTCTTCAGGTGGTGGAAGTTAAACTAAAGTAACGAGAAACTTACGTAACGTTACGTCTCTACTACATAGTGTTTTACTTAACTAGGCAGTGTCGTCC